TGGTAAGACAAAGGGGAAAACAGAAACTAACCAAAATGTCAAAAAAGGTTTGTGCAACAAAGGCCATCGGTTGCAGTTGATAACAGCATACCAAACCAGTGCGATACTAATGAGGCCACTGTGTCCTTGCTTTTTATCTTTTTCTGATATTTCACATGTATTTTCTTTCTTTTTTTCCTGCCATTTAAACTTCATTCTGGTTTGGGCAAGAGTCACACATCTTTTTAAATCGTATTTTAAAACAGCCCATCACACAATGTCTTGCGAGTAATTTTACACAATCACTTTAAGAAAAAGTTATGCCTCAGTGCTATTTACGATGAGGTTAGAAAAAAAATTATTGCTCCACTTTATCATTTAAACGTCCACCTTCGTTTCTAGATCGAAACGAGCGGTTAATAAAGTAATACCTGAAGGTACTTCTCTCTAAATAAGATCTCCACGGTGCCGCGAATTTTGTTTTTCAGTCCAGCGTGATGGTAACTTATTCCTCGTCTTAAAGCTTCCTTTAAAAGTGAATAGCCACGCAAATACCAAATGCGATGCATGATCTTTTGTAAATCCTACAGAGTAAATGGCCAACCTCAGTTAAGGAAAACTTTATCAAAAAAGTCTTTACCTAGGGGCCTTTTAGTCACATAATTCGTAGTCTGATTATCCTTTTTGATGTAGTCTATCTTTGTCCTCTGCTCACGTGATTATAGAAATACGCGCGCTCTGATTTCACTATAATCACCTCGCGCAAGGTGATTATAGCAGGGATTCTTAATATTCAAAATGGCTACCTCGCGTGTTGTCCACGTTACGGAGGAAGTGATAATCTCTTTTCAAAGATAAGATATGAATTTTTTGCTGATTAAATTAATTAAAACCCATTAAACTTTAGTGGAAGCTGCTTGCTTATATGTCGATAAACAGTTATTCACTTCAGGCTAGGTGAATATTATTAAAAAATTCCCTCGACCTCGTTTCAAGTATGTTTCAAAAATATTCACTTCGCCCTCGGCGAACAATCGTTAAATAATATTAAATATATAGTTGCCGGATGCTCCCTACCTCGTCTCCAATTTTGTGTGTAAAGGCAACTGTGCACGCTGGTAAAGGATCATTTAAGAACGAAGAGTCTTTCTCGTACTGTTGTCTTACTTGGTCGTCCAATCTGTTAAGAGAACAAGCCCTCAAGTCTTATATCGTTTGTCATCATAACATGACGGACTCGTTCGCATACATATTGAATGGAATCTAAATGGCCCTCGACGAGATATATCATGCAGTTACTATTTAATTTGTTTCCGTTTACCTTTCTTCGTTTGTACTCTCTGTCTCTTCATCTCTCAGCCTTTTAAATTCCTTGTTCGCCTTTTTTACCCTCTTTTCGGCAAGCTTAGAGTCTTTCCCTTTATTCTGGCGTTTAATAACCTCCTCTCGTTTTTGAAAGTGCTCAGCGAGACCAAACGCCAACTCTTCGCAAAACTTGCGGTCAAAGCTGATAAAAACAGAGGTATATCATTAATAAAGCCCACTGAGCGAGATAGCTTTTTCGGTATTTACTCAGTTATTTTTTGTTAATATACCTTCCACATAACGTGAGTTTTCATCATTTAAATACGATTTGTTTTGAACGTTCGCATTTTTATTTTCGGAACATGAGTCCAACTTATGTGCATCGTTCCAATTTGTATTCTGATCGTCATTTACCTTTACCTATTGTCTTTCTTTCTCTATCCCCTTTTTTTTTCAGTGTGGCTGACACAAAAACCAAATTAAAGTTAAATCTGAACCCTTGTTATGCATGTCACTGAACGATAATCCCTTTCGGTGATACAGTATGCGGTATATTACCTGAAAATAAGCGCTGGCAGTTTTTTTTGAGCCTTAAGTTGTTCCACAAGCTTTGGGAAATTTTTCCAAATGAAAATTTTTCCCGACGAAGGCATTCCTAGCTGAGTCCATTCCTCTTCAGTCGAAGCCTGTTTCTCCAGCAAAATAGAATTCAGTGACTGTAAAACGGCTTCAACCTGGAGCAACAAAAATATGACTTAAAAGTGATTATAATAACAACAGCAGAAGTTACACTTAAGTTAGTAGATCAGTTAGTAAACGAGCCCAGGAATAGAACGTAGGGATATAATTTACAGGAAATGGTATGAAGACCTGTAAAAATGCCAGCTTATCCCTTTAAAATAGTATTTCACCTGAACATCGCACCTCGTGCCCCGTAGGGCCTCCGTATTATGTACCACCGATACAACAAAGAAATAATGTAAAGAATGTAACAGATTTGTGTCTCGCTGACGTCAGGTCAAACAATCGTGATGTTATTAGAGATACGATTCATTAGAGTAATAAGCAGAAAGGAAGGACTCCAAAGGCTAGGGTCTACAGGGCTTTAATCAGCGTCAAAAAAATTTTCTATTCATCAATGCAATGGCAAACAACGCTAACACATCACAATCGCTGTGCAACGAATTCTTTGGCAACATTCCCTTTACCTTCTCAAAATGTTTTTCATCGGCCCAAGACTTGAATTCTTTCTTCAGATCCTTTTCGTACTTTCGTGCGCAGCTCTTGTCAATGAACTTATTTTTCTCGAAGAACCTCTCGGGGGAAAGTTTCTTGAAAGAAAACACAAAATAACAAGCTTGGGTCACCAAGTCGCAATATTCTCTGGACTGTCAGTATGAAAAAACCATTATTTGAGACTTTGTGAAATCTAGTCTTACTTCAGCTAGCTTTTCAAGATAAAAAAAAAAATAGCCCAGAACGATACGAGCTAACCCTCTAACGACCATTATCACAGCTGACAGGCATGCAACTGTAACGTGTAAGACCGAACCTTATTTAAAAGCTACGTACTTACCTGCAAGGATTCTTTGTCTGGCCAGTGCATAGTCATAACATCAAAAAGTTGTAGAGATTCTCGAGGAGTGAAATCCATATCTCTTGGGAAGGAATTCTCTTGTAGCTAATTGGAAACAACAATTTGTTACTCGAAGCGTCTTTAATGATCGATGGTCGGAACATGGAACTGTTTCAGTTGACGGTCGAAAAACCTAACGCAAGGTAATCACTTTGGCCAGTTAGAGCCAAAATTAACGTCATTATTAGCCGCTGAAAACTTGAAGAAAAGAAAAAAAAAACTAAAGCGCGAGAAAACGAGGGCGATTAAGTCACGATTTGTTTTCGCACTACTTATGATTGGTTTAGATGTTGGTGTACGTTATCTTATCTAGACCAATCACAGACCAAAATAAAGCAAAACAAGCAATCCCAGATTACTTGTGACACTCAGTTGAAAATTGCTCTTTTCCAAAAAAGATTAAGTGAAAGAGGATTGGAAGCAAAAGATGTAAAATACGTATTATAGGAACTACAGGAAAGATACAGTACTGTTGTAAGATTCGCCCGAAGAAGGTTACAAAAGCAATTATGACGATTAATAATGGTAATAGGACCGAGTGTAGTCCAATTCGGTCTGCACTCATACGAGTGATTAACAAAATGGGACGACCGCGAAGTGGGAGTCTGATTTGATAGTCACGAGAATGATTACAGGCAGAACTGGACGACACGAAGTCCTGTTACCGATTAATCAAAACTATGAAAAAATTTGAAAAAGAAACTAGTCATCAATTATACGTTTTCATAAAAAGAAAACAACAGTGAACTCGGCGGAATGCGAGACAACAGCCCGCGCACATGACGCGTTCTGACCACTTACACAAGCATGACTTGTTGCTTGTCCCTTTAACTGTTCTATTAGGCTGTCCAATTACAAGTATGACGCTTACACTGTCCTATTAATGCTCAAATCGGGCTGGTGATAACCAATCACGGTCGGGAATTTTGTTATAGTTTTGATTAACCATAGGATTTCCCTATCTCTTTTTAGTAAGGTATATATAACCAATATCACAAAATACATGTGAGAACTCATGGACTTACAATCTTACGTTTGGTAAGTTTCTAATTTTTTTTTTTGCGAATTCGTAGATCTCTTCAGTATTTTTATAAAACTTATTCTCTTCAAGCTGACCTATGGCAGTTCTGTACTTGACAGTTCACCTGTTTTGCTGCAAGCTGAGCACAAGGGTGAAGCCTCGCAAACTCTCCAGTCGCTTTGACATCGTAAGTACCCTCGTATTTCCTGGACTTTTCAGAGAATCCACCATTACTAGGACTCGGAAGGTAAACACTCTTCTCCAGATCTGAGTATCGTTCATGAAAGTGAACTAAAAAATATACCAGAGATGTGTTGTTAGACCAATTTTTGGCATGGGGGTGACATTCGTTGACCCTCTCACTCTCAGGAATAAACAAAACAGAATTTCTCCTTACAATATCAATATGGTTTAAGAATTGCAGTCGTTTCGCCAAAGAGTTGTTCAGCTAACGACCAGGTTGCTTACGTCTTTGGTCGTTTCGGAAACCTAATTGTCTAGATAAGGTTGAAATGGAGTTTTGAGTTTTTGGGTCAACCCTAATGCGTAAACTTAAGCATTGCAGATTCAAAGACCATATAAGGCCCCTCCATGACTCTCTGAGGTAACGGATTTATTTTTTCGCTTCACCTAGTCTGATTCTGTAGGACTCTCTCATCTGGCCATTTTCTTGTTTGTCTTGCTGCTCTCGAAAGCTTTGAGCGGCTTGCAACCACCTACAAAACAAAGAACGTATGATTCACCTCGTGATTTAATTTGAAAATGCGTGACTAACTTGTATACGTTAACATCGTTTTAACATCGGCGTAACGGGAAAATTTCGTAGGATTCAATAGAACACATTTTATTTTGTGCACTTTGCAACAGTTCTCACCTTGTAAGGTCATCTGGATTTCCAATGGTTGCCGAAAGCGCCAAGAAGGGACAGCGAATGAGAAGAAGAAGATGCTCCCAGACTTCAGCACCAATTTCTTGACCAAGACAGTGAACCTGCAGAGTAAAGGTATGGGAGAAATTTTGGCTTAGGTATAGCCTGAGTGCACAGGTAAAACAGTAATTTTGTTTTATTTTCTTGGAACGATGCCCAAAGTTTGCTCAGCTTGAGTAGTAAGCTTTTGTTACCTCGAATCTCAGAAAAAACATTTTAACGACCTTAGGGCAACTTTTATTATTTTCTCCCTGTATCCTTAGGTAGAATTGACCCTCCAACCATCCATATTCTCACATCCAATGCTACTGCCATCATTGAACCAAATCAAACAATGACTACTGTTTATGAAAACACCGATGAAGGTCAAAAGTCTACGAATTGATTATGAACGAACGTTAATGTGAACTAGAATTCTTTAAGAACTTGGTTACATAACTTTAGTAAAAGGGATATATCTACATTATTCAACGAGGTAACACTGCACAAAGTACACATCGTAGTAACCTCTCAGCGTTAATTCTGTCTTTTCCACGCTACAACTTTATTACGAAAAATTAAAAAGTGATTATGCGAAAATTACTTTCAAGAAAGTTCATA